TGAACCGCTGCTACCCGGGGCAATGTTAACACCGAGCGTTTTGCATAACTGGGCTAAGTATAATGTAAATGGCACTAAGCATGAGATGAATGGTAATATCTGTGACATACCTGCACAAAGAAATTAATCTCAGTAGCTGGCCTCAGTGAAAGTTTTGTTTATTTCCTGTCCTACTGTTTTAAGTGTATTTGTACAGCTTTCATTACCTACCTGTCATGTTTGAACCACAGCCTCTTTGTTGTTTCCTATATTATTAAAATTTGCACTGAAGTGAACAAAGGAAGAAAGGATGTAGTTGCAGGGGAGTGCCACAGTAAAAGGTCTAAATGCAGATGAATTATTTGAGTTAGACAAAGGTTTTGTGGGAACTGAGATAAAATTTCAGGTTTGTGGACTGGCTTATTTTTTGCAGAGCAAGTTAACAGTTCCTTATTACTAGTCATGTTTCTATTGAATTGCATTTATAATCATTTATCAAAGATACGCGGGATAGACATTTTCTTTTATGCCTGATGTGTTAAAATTTAAACATAAAAGTAAACTGATTCTGAATAAGAATTTGAAAACCACTTTCTTCAAAAGCAACAAGGTCTCAGGCCGTTAGGTTACAACAAAGCAGCAGCAGAATGGGCTGTGGTGAAAGGGCCAGCATTCTTAAAACTCAAAAAAATTCAGCATGAAAGTGTCTTCTATATTTGGGTGTACCAAATGATGTTATTTACAATACCACCACATTTTAAACAAACCATGTTGTACTTATCCCATATCTGCCTTATAATTGTGTTTGGGCCTCTCTGTGTTTGCCAGCTGCATTGTATTCATTTATGGGTATTTAGTGTGTAGACTGTGGAGTCAGAGACCTTGGTTAATATGTCTTACTCAGCCATTGAATGATCTTGGGCAAGTCACTTATTTCTCTTCTTTTCCTGTGAAATTACATAATTGGAAAATATGGACGCTGTTGCATAGAATATACAGTACAGTTCCCTACATTATATAAGGTTAATAAGTAAAATTATCAAAAGAGCCTTAATTAATTGAGGTCCTTGGCTTCTGTGTAACACAGGTTCATTGGAAAATAGGTTTTAATATCATGTAGATGATTTTGAAAATTTTACCCAGTTGTACATATTATGGTTTAAGTGCTATGGACAAAAATGTTCTGCTATTGAGCCATTGTGTCAGAACAAAGCACCTGTTAGTGCTGCTAACAGTTTAATTTTATATTAATTAAACATCAAAAGACTATTAAATACATAATTAGAAGTGATTATTTATAGATAGTGCAGCTAGACTGTGAACACACCTGAGTCCTGACCAGCAGTCTTCCTACAAAGAAAAGAGCCAAAAGTACTGGATTATGCCTGAATGTGTAAAGTGGACAATTTAGAGCTAGGGTGACTCTACCAATGACATTTTTTATTCACAATCTAAACCAGAAGTTGAATTCATATGTCCAAAATGAGTGGCTTCATCCACTTTACCAGCTAATGACCAATTAATCTGATTCTGTAATAGAAAACAATACAGAATTGCAGTGTTGCATTAGAGCTGTAGCTAATTTGAAGGGAGAGTTTTCTGCTGGGATTCTATGCTGAGTGCTGTGCTGAGACAGTAGAGGAATTACCTGGAGCTGACCTATATGTAATCAGCATTGTGTGATTTCCGGTAGCTGATGAACAGATTAGGGTCATCAACAGGAAACACAGCAGAGCTTTAACAGCAGAGTCCAATATGACATATGCAAGGAAAGAAAGGTGATAAATCCACAACTAGAAAGAGGTATGGTGCACTATTCAAGCTATATACCATATGCTATGCAATAATGACCAAGCTTCTCTGTTCTATTAATTCACAGGAAAAATGAAATAGTTTTATCACTTCAAAGAAATGCTGAAGAGACATTGTGAAAGGTCACTGTAATATGTTGAAAGTCATGTATCGAATCAGCGTTTTGTTGTGTTGTTAAACTCAACATTACTTACTTGCTTTGTAGTGTAATATGCACATACAAAGCTTTTCAGATAAAAAATAAAGATCCTACTTTTGAGGTGGGAAATAATTTCTCAGAGGCAGTTCGTCATTTTGATTGTTTTATCAGCAGGGATCCTGGTTTTCTCTGGTTTAAAAAAAAATACCCAATTTTCGGTTAAAAAAGATAATCTATATATTAGTGGTGTTTCATTTAGATCATGGAAAAATGTGGATTTGGGATTACTTTTCTAATCCAAAAATTGGGGGTTTTTTTAATTCAGAGAAAACCAGGATTCCTGTTTATCAGAAGTAACAAGGAAAGCAGAGAATAGGCATATTTCCTATCATGAACACTACTGAAAGTGCCAAGAGATAATCATTTTACTGTATTGATCTATAAACTTTGTACACTTGATAACATGACAAACATGTTGTATGACCTCTGAAATCATTAAAATACATAGATGTAAAGTTTGATAATCTGGTCTGATTCAGGTGTCATTGTTGGTGCATATGTAGATTTTGTTTTGTTGAATTAAACAGTTTTCATATGGGACCAGTTAAATTGCTGCAGATTTTATTTTCTGTATAGTAATACAACACTCCCTTTTCCTTTAATTGGCATTTAGCTGACACCTGTCTTGACTGAAAGGTGATCTATTAGAGTTTGGCCCATAATGATTGTTAAATCAATTATAGATGCATTCGGACATCAGTCGTATCAGGATACAGATAAAGGCTGTGTGTGTGTCCACCTGAGAGATTTCAGCCTCCTATCATGAGTGTATGCTTTGCCCTCCTGGCTGCTATTCTGTGTTCAAATAGAGCTATAACTGAAAATGCTTAGTAAAAATATTTTTGTAACAATTCTTTTTACAAAACACATTGTTGTCCTCTGCCCGTACTGACAACGAGGATCAACAGGGATAAACTGCTGAATGGTTTGCAGTGCAGTCTCAAGAGGACAGGAGACCAAGCCTGCAGCTGGGGAATTCTTTTCTCCTTGACCTATTTTAAACTATAATTAGAGGCACCTACTGGGACTAGAATCAAAATGTTTTTGTTTCCCTCTTAGTTTACATGGTGTATGGTTTTGCTATTCTTTTTGCTATTTCTAGTCAAGATCCCAAGGAGAGGCACTCAGCCTATATATCTCAACACTCTTGCCACTGATCTGGATCAGAGACAAGGGACACCCTCATGTCAGAATAGTTGCAGGGCAAGTAGGACTTGTACTTGCCACTTAAATATATTTATTTAAACTGTAAGGCATTAAAAAACTACACCTATTTGCACTGTAGGCATTTATAAAAAACAAACTAACTTGGCATCTGAATTTCCCATAGTACATGGAAGCCAAACATTGAAAAGGTGGTTTACTACCTTCCATTCTGTTGTGTGATTGTTAGTTTATTTTAATTAATCAAGGCAAGGGGTGATGCTATGTATGCAAGGAAGTTATTTGGAGGGTCTCATGCCCCTATTTTGCATACAATACAATCTAGATAAAAGGAGAGACAAACACACCAAGGTAGAAAGATACACGCTGGGTGCATCTACACAAGACGTTGACTGTACGTTTAGCCTAATTAGCGCCACAGTAGTCTCACCACCTACACCTGCAGTCCCATTAGGCCACAGGAAACTAACCAACTGTGCCGCAGGTTAGTACTTGTACCATAGCAGGGTTCTTTAGTGCGCAGCACTGCACGTGTAGACACGGGTGGGGCTGCTGGAGCACAAGAGTGCTTCAGTGAGGGCGCTGCCTGCTGCCTAGCACCACACTGAAGCACCCTCATGCCCCAGCCAACCCCTCCACAGCATGTTGAGCTGGGTTGGAGCAGCCCCGGGCTCGCAGGCTGACCCCTCGGGCCCCTTGCCAGCCGAGGCTGCTCTGATCCAGCTCATTGTGCTGCAGTCCCAAGTGTATGATCAATCATGGGGCCCCGGAACAGTAAACTCCAATGCAATATGTACCAGAGTTTATTGCTCCATGCTAACAACACGTTTAGATGCACCCACTGATGGACAGATGCTCTGTGTTTTAACTGGGCTGGCAGTCTGGGCAACGTCAATGCAATGAGTTCATACAACTAGAATAATTAAAATCCCATGGTGAATCTGTTTGTTTCCTTCAGTCATTTTAACTGAGTTTCACTTTACCACTGTTTTATGTTTCCATAGTTTGAAGATTTTGAGCTAAAACTCTCTATGGTTTTGTAGGACATCAACTGTTTTGTGGAGTTACGTAGCTTTTCAGTATCATCCTTCGGCATAGCTGGACCTACCCGGTCCCACTGTTTCAGCACCCCTGGACTCCTCCAGTCTCAAGTCTTCAACCTCTTGGGAAGTCTCCAAACTCTCTTTTACGGATACGTCAGACCTCTCCAGTTTCAGCTCTTCATCCTCTGAGGACCTCTCCTATCTCACCTCATCTTCCCTGGACCTCTCAAGTGTCATCTCTTCAGCATCTCTGGATGTTTCCAGTACCTCTTCAATCTCCTTAGAGCTCTCTAGTCCTGCCTCTTACGATGCTTTGGAACACTACAGTTTCACCTCTTCAGCCTCATGGGACCTATCCAGTCTCACCTCAGACTCTCTGGACCTCTCATATCACAGCTCTTTAATTTCTTTAGATCTCTCCAGCTTTCCCTCTTCAGCCTCCCTAGATGTCTCCAGTCTCGCTTCTTCACCCTCCTTCAGTCCTTCTGGTCATACTTCTTCAGCTTCTTTGGACTTTCCCTATGCTGCCTCTTTAACCTCTCTGGATGTCTCAGATCTCACCTCTTCAGACTCATTGAACCTCACCAATTTTAACAAGTTAACATCCCAAGTTTCCTCTGAGTTATCCTCAACCTCTCTGGATGTTTCTAATCCCATCTCTTCTCCCATTCCAGAAATCTCCAACTGCATGTCAGAAGAAGGCTCTTCTGTCACCTCTTCAGTTTCTCTGGACCATTCCAGCCCTCCCTCTTGAGCCCCCTCAGAC